AAATCTGCTGCATGCAGCTGGTTTCGGCCCCACCGAGGGGTCCATTCCTCGATACTTGGGCGCCTCCGGCGCCAGGAGACGCCGGGAAAATTAGCTATGTGAGTTGATTCTCAACCCCCCCCTTTCGCCCGGCCCGAACATCCTTGGGAGGGCACTCTCGAATGTTTGTCACTGCTTGGCCAGCGGAGGCTCTCATGTGAAGGGGACCTGGGACACACAAATAAATACACACAAATAACCGGATTCGCCATATTTTCCTATATTTTCTGGGTTTCTGTCTTCCCCCCCACTTCCCATATTTTCCCATATTTTCTGAGGAATCGACGATTCATCGTGTCTGTGTGTTTTCTCCCCTCCTTATCATGTTCTTGAAGGATTTGCTTCTGTCCCAGGTCCAGCCGCAGCCGAGGGCGTCTGCATCGAGCCCGGGCCCAGGATTGAGTCGGGCCTGCCCCCCTACAGGGGGATTTTTCGACGATGAATAAAAAATACCCCAAACATGATCCCAAACTAGTCCAAAAACAGTATGGGGATTGTTTTGGGAGTATTTTGTTGACCTTTTTGAGGTCTTTTGGGGGTCTGTTTTGTTTTTCGTCGAACATCCCCCTGTAGGGGAACAGGCCCGACATAAGCCCAGGAGGGGCCCCGGCCAGGATCTCGAAAACGAAGTGACCAGGATCTCGAAAGCGAAGACGCTGCACGAGCAGAAGCCGTCGGAGCTCCGCGCCGCTCTCCTGGAGCGGCGAGGGAAGCCCTCCTTCGAGGAGTGGAGCGACTGCAGAATCGGTGCACCCCAGACGTGGTGTCCTCGTCCAGCCCACCCAGACCCCCTCGAGTTATGAAAAAATCACGAAAACGGAGTGACCAGGATCTCGAAAACGGAGTGACCAGGATCTCGAAAGCGAAGACGCGGCGCGAGCAGAAGCCGTCGGAGCTCCGCGCCGCTCTCCTGGAGCGGCGAGGGAAGCCCTCCTTCGAGGAGTGGAGCGACTGCAGAATCGGTGCACCCCAGACGTGGTGTCCTCGTCCAGCCCACCCAGACCCCCTCGAGTTATGAAAAAATCACGAAAACGGAGTGACCAGGATCTCGAAAACGGAGTGACCAGGATCTCGAAAGCGAAGACGCGGCGCGAGCAGAAGCCGTCGGAGCTCCGCGCCGCTCTCCTGGAGCGGGATGAAGCCCTCCTTCGATTATGATGTTCCAACCTACTTTAGCCATGATCACCAGAAAGATTTTCGATCACCAGAGAAGTACCCACAAACTCGAGGGTTTTCACATGTCGGGCCTGGAAGACGCTCGTCCGACACTGTTTCGACACCGTTTCGACACTCTTTCGACACTTTTCTGGGTGCTCGAAATTATTTCTGGGATGCGGTCCTTAAGTAGGACGGGAACAACATAATCCTTCGAGGAGTGGAGCGACTGCAGAATCGGTGCACCCCAGACGTGGTGTCCTCGTCCAGCCCATGGAACATGCCACGCCTTGTGTTTGCAGGTTCGGCGAGGTAGTGAAGATGGGGTAAGTCAGTTCCGTCGTCGATCCCCTGCTCGAATCCTGGCAGCGCCTCCCTCCAGCTTCGCCCCTGGCGCGCGCCGCGCGCCAGGGAGGGGGGGGGGGGTCTAGCGCCGACCCTAGAATTCCGTGCGGACCTCCAGAAGTGTACGCTCATGCCGCCCCCTTGCTCCTCTACGTTATCGGAGCTATTTGTTTCATCCCCTGGCGAGATCGGGTGTGGAGGAGGAGGAGGAGGAGGAGGAGGAGGAGGAGGAGGAGGAGGAGGAGGAGGAGGAGGAGGAGGAGGAGGAGGAGGAGGAGGAGGAGGAGGGAGGAGGAGGGAGGAGGAGACAGGGTGGCAGGGGGCCTGAAACACGCCACGACTCGTGCTGGGCGCCGCCTGGGCATGCTTCAGGCATAGTTAACTTCAGGAGGGGGAAAAAGAGCACACAGACACGATGAATCGTCGATTCCCCCGAAAATATGGGAAAATGTGGGAAGTGGGGGGGGAAGACAAAGACCTAGAAAATATGGGAAACTGGGGAATCCTGTTGATTGTGTCTATTTACTTCTGTGTCCGAGGGCCCCTTCATAGGCGCGAATCGCGACGCGACCAGGGGGGGGGGGCGGGGCCGGTCACCGGCGCTCGCGCGAAGGCCAAGTCGCGGTCATCCGAGAGGTGGCCAAGGAGTATACTGGGGGCCCATACCAAGAAACACCCTGCCAGGAGTATTGGGGGCCTCACCGAGTCCGTGGGACATGTTTGTGCCCGTGCTGTCCACAAGGGGGCAGGATGTGTCCGCTGGAGGAGGTGCGAGAGGATTTCGGAGTGAGGCTTCGCGTGTGCCCTTTCCTTCCCTTTCCCGCCTCTCCAAAATTGCGTTGGGAAAAGAAGAAACACCCTGCTTGCCTCCAAGGTTTCTTGGGCTTCAAGGGCTTTGCGACGGAGCGCGCGACTTTCCCACATCAGGGGTTGGGTTTCTTGCGGAAGGTTTCTTGTGGTCGGGCCCCACTGCAGGGGTTAGGATAGGATGGCCCGAGCCGTGTCTCCCCAGACTGCATGGCCCTCGTCTTATCGCGGTGCGTCCCCTGGCCGCCCCTGGGCGGCGCACGTGCCTCGGCCCTCTCTTGGCGCCCCCGTCTTGGACGTCCCGAGGATTCACCACCCACCAAACCACCCCAACGCAACCCGAAGGCCCGAATTCGCCCTCCATTTCCAGAGGGGGCGGTGTGGGGGAACATGGAGAAAGCACGTGGAGAACCCGCATCCCCCCAACCCGAAATTCGGGTCTTCGGGTTAGGTTGGGGTGGTCTGGTAGGTGGTCAAGGACGAAGAGCCTGATCGTGGCGTTCCGAGGCACCGAGAACCTGCAGAACGTCGTCACGGACGTGAAGATCCTGAAGACGCCTTGGCAGGGCGGCGACAGCGAGAAGCCTAGGGACCCGCGGGAGGCGTCTGCACAACATTAAGTCGAGCCTGTCCCTCTACAGGAGGCACGCTCCAAAGCAGTCCACAGATGTCTGGGGACGATGCTTCGTGCTCTCTTGATTTGTTGTCTGGACTATCTTCGGACTGTGCTCTGTTTTTCCATTTGAGAATCCGCCCGTGGGAGGACGTGCCCAACCTGAGCACAACACCTCCGCAGCGAAAGCCGAGCCTCGCCCTCGCCGGTCGACGATGCAGGCGGCTCGATGGGCGGCCAGGGCAGGGTTCGGAATTCGTCGAGCGCGTGGCGCAATCCGAACCCTACCCCCGCATCCCATCGATTCCCCTCCTCCTCGTCCTCCTCCTCCTCCTCCTCCTCCCCCTCCTCCCCCTCCTCCTCCTCCTCCTCCCCCTCCTCCTCCCCTTCCTCCTCCCCCTCCTCCTCCTCCTCCTCCTCCTCCACAATTACTCAATATGAATACTACTCTCCCTCTTCCCCTGATGGCGTGCTGGGAGTAGTAGACCCCCCCCGCGTATTGTTTTTTTACACACAGGATTCCCGGGAGTTGGGTTTTCGCCTGCGTTTTTTTCAAAATGCTGCTCTCGCTGAGGCGCCGGCCTCATTTCTGCTCCCGAATCGTTCCGAATCGTGCTCCCGCTGCAGCGTGGGCCTCATTTTCGGATCGGTGTTTTGCCTCCGTCGTTCAGGATGGCGTTCTCGCCCCAGCGCGGGCCTCTTTCTCGCGCGCCCATCCGCCCGCCACCACCGCGCCGCACCACGCCCCGCCCCGCCGCACGCACACCCACCGCCACTTCCACCCACCAACGGACGCACGCACGCACGCGCACCACCACCGCGCACCGCCACCACCAGCGCACTACCCCACCCACCACCACCACGCTACACCGCGTCACACCACATCACACTCGCGCACACACAGACACGCACGCACGCACGCACGCACGCACGCACGCACGCACGCACGCACGCACGCACGCACACACACACACACACGCACACACACACACACGCACACACGCACACACGCACACACGCACACACGCACACACGCACACACATATACACATATACACATATACACATAGACACATAGACACATAGACACATATACACATATACACATGTACACATATACACATACACACATATGCACATACACACATTTACATATACACATATACACATTTACACACATATACATATAGTCATATACACACATCCACATATACACATATACACATATACATATATACATAGATACACATATACACATATACACATATACATACATACACACATACACATATCCCCATATACACATATACACACATACACGTCTACACATATACACAACACATATACACGCATACACGTATACACATATACACAGATACACATACACACATACACACATACACACATACACACATACACACATACACACCTACACACAAACACATATCCACATACACACATACACACGTACACACGTACACACATACACGCATACACACATACACGCATACACACATACACACACATACACACATTCACACACATACACACATACACATACCCATACACATACACATACACATACACACATACACACATACACACATACACACACATACACACATACACACATACACACATACACACATACACGCGCGCGCACACACACACACCACCGCCACCACCACCACCACCGCCATCACGCACGTACGCACCTGGCCCACCACCAAACCACCAAGGCGCCACACCACGTCACACCACAGCACACGCGCACACACGCACGCACGCACGCACGCACGCACACACACACACACATACACACCACCACCACAACAACCACAACCACGCACACACGCACGCACGCACGCGCACCACCACCCACTACGCACACGCGCGCGGAGCCACAGGTCCGCTGCGACACGCGTCCGCGGATAGAGAAAATCAGCGCCATGGTAAGGGATGGGAGGGAGGGGTAGGATGTCAGATGTTGACGCGAGCGCACCTAACTTGTCCCCCTCCCCTCCCCCTCCTCCTCCTCCTCCTCCTCCTCCTCCTCCTCCTCCTCCTCCTCCTCCTCCTCCCCCCATCCCCCTCCCTCCTCCTCCTCCTCCTCCTCCTCCGCCTCCTCCTCCTCCCTCCTCTCCTCCTCCTCCTCCTCCTCCTCCTCTCCTCCTCCTCCTCCGCCTCCTCCTCCTCCCCTCCTCCTCCCCTTCCTCCTCCTCCCTCCCTCCTCCTCCTCCTCCTCATCCTCCTCCTCCTCCTCCTCCTTCTCCTCCTCCTCGTCTCCTCCTCCTCTCCTCCTCCTCCTCCTCCTCCTCCTCCTCCTCCTCCTCCTCCTCCTCCTCCCCCTCCTCCCTCCTTCCTCCTCCTCCTCCTCCTCCTCCTCCTCCTCCTCCTCCTCCTCCTCCTCTCTACTGAATTGATGGGATGCGGGGGTAGGGCTCGGATGTCGCCACCTTGCACCCTGCCTGGTTGGGGCCATTCTTCAGAGGAGCAAGAAGTCATGGTAACGAGACGGTCCAAGGTCCCGCACTGTCAGAGACGAATGGCCAGATAACTTGCCGAGGGCCGCTAGAAAGTTCGGAAGCCCCTGAACGTATCCTGAGCCAGTCGTATCATGACGTTGTGATCGTCCTGAGATTGGGCCCCAGGGTGATGTAGACCAAAGACGAAAAATGACATAACTAGTTTTTCGTCGACGTCCAGCGCTGATTTCGTGGATCTGTGCTGGACCCCTCGGGTGGCGCCTCTGGCGCCACCCCAGGTTCCAGCGCCGATCCAAGAGATCTGCACGGACCCTCGAAAAGTCAAATTTGTGTCCATGTTTCTTCGCCCAGCACAGACCTCACCACCCACCAAACCACCCGAACCCAACCCGAAGGCCCCAATGTGCCCTCCATTCCCAGTGGAGGGGGCGTCGGGGAATATTGAACAAACACATGGGCGACGCAGAAAAAACGGTGTCGTCTGCGCCGACATTGGCGCGTAAGCTGCCCGCGAAAGGTCGCGCGTAAGCGCCCTCGTCTCCGATGTGGCGTGCCGTGCCAGCGGCCCGCGTAAGCCACTGCGTAAGGGTCGCTGTGTCATCTCGCGTGCAGTGGAGGCCCGTCCACAAGAACCCTTCTACAAGAAGCCCAACCCTGAGACCCCAGGACGTCCAATGATTGTTGGTGTGGGAACGTCACGCTTTCCATAGCAAAACCATCGAAACCCAAGAAACCCAGGGCGCCCTGGAGGCAAGCAGGGTGTTTCTTGGCATAGGTCTCCACTGTAAGACTCCTTTCTGCTCGTCGCTCACATGTGGAACACGTACCCCCCCAACCCGACATTTGGATCTTCTGGGCTGGCTCAGGGATGGCTAACTAGGCAGTCAAGATCTTACCCGCCTCCCCCCATGCGTCCCTCTACAGGAGGACAACTCAAACTTATTTATTGCGAAGGCCTTACGGCCGGTGCCGCCGACCCTGAAGACGAAGCTGTCTGTGACGCCGTGAAGGCCGAAACGTCTTTTATGCTAGGAATGTAAGTTTCCGATGGAAAAGTAATGAGTGTGGCCTCTTGGGCCCTTCTTGGGGGTGCTCTTGGAGGGGGCCTGGGACGGCTTGGAGGCTTCTTGGACGGTCTTGGGGCTATCTTGGGCGTCTTCGGCCGATCTTTGGGCGACTCGGGGCACTCGGGCCGTCTCGGGGGCCATCTTGGGCATTCGGACCTCATTTGGAGTGTTTTCGAGGTTTCGAGGCCGCCCGAGGAAAAACGAATCTGCCCCCCCACCCCCCCCCCCCCACCCCCACCCCACCCCCCCCCCCCCCCCCCCATCCCCCCGGACCCCGAACCCCCCCCCATCCCCCCCGGGACCCCCCCCCCCTTGGGGAAGGGATCAAAGGGAAGGGGCTTCCCTTCGAATCGACAACGGCATGACGGCAGGATGGTACGGCCCAAAAAGAAAAAAGGGGGAAGGAAGAGGGGGGGCGGCGAGGAACGGACGAGGAAGCCCCTCGCACACGCCGACAGGGTCGGCGGATTTGGACGCGGGCTGACGACTAGCCTCACGGCGAGGGCCCGAAAGGCCGACAGGGACGAGGGACGGACCCAGGACCCAGAGACAGGGCCGACCGAAAGGACCGACCGAAAAACAAGGGACCGAAAACCACGAGGGCCACAGTCGGCAAGGCCAGACACTGGCTGCTAGCAAGCTCAAAACCTCGTCCTGAGTTGCACAGGAGAGGAGCATCTAACAAGAGAGAGATAATCTACAACGTGCAGACAAGACATCACCCATCACGACATTAGACAGTGCGCTTGGCATGAAGTCGAACAAATCTACTGCACGGCTCAGAGGGCTCAGAGGGGCGGAAGGAGTTCGGAGCAAACCTGAACCCAGCGTTTCCACGAGGGGCCAGCGGGCCTTCCACCAGGCCGCCCCACTGACGGTAGAGCGTCGGACGGGGCCTGTTTCTCGCATACCTCCGCGGGGCTCGACGCAGGCATCCTCGGCGTGATCATCTTGGCGACGATAGCCTGGTAGATGAGGTTCATCAGGTGGAAGACCAGATTCACCAGGAAGGTCCTCATCGTCTTGTGCGTTCCCTCTCCGCTCTTTTGATTGATTTGGTGACCTGTGTATTTTCCCTGTGCGCTTCATGTCTGGCGCAGAGACGGCACTGGTCACGACTTGAAATCACTTTTTTGGAAACAAAACAAAAAGAGGAAGGTCATCATCGTGAAGCTCACGATCGTCACCGGGCCGACCAGGAGGAGCACCAGGATCAGCAGGGACGCCATCACAGTCGGCGCGAGCACCAGCATCACCTCCGCGAGGCTCAACACAGGCAACCTCGGCCGGACGTAGATCGGCCAAGCGCCAGCCCGCTTCCAGGGGTACAGTTAGTCAGGCTAGGGAAAAAACAACGCAGACTCAATTGATCGTCGATTCCCCAGCAAGTATGGGAAAAGATGGGAAGTTGGGGGGAAGACAAAAACCCAGAATATATGGGAAAATATGGGTACAGCAGCCTGCGGGTGCGGCCGCGGCAGCCTCGGCTGGGCAGCCTTGCCCCCGCAGGGGCCCCCCTCGCCTGCGGCAGCGCAGGCCCGCATGCGCCCGGCGCCTCGTCGACGCCTTGCGCCGCCCGCTCGCAGCACGGCAACACCGCGGCACCGCACGTGCCTCCTCCCCTTGGTGTGTTCGAAATGGTTGGAAGGTGCATTTTGAGCCAGGAGTTTTGGGACCTGGAGGGGGTCCGTCCTCGGGAGTCGGGGTCCTGGCTCGGTCCTTCCTGGGTCTTCACTACCCCGATTTTGGGCCTCGGGTGAAAGATCATCGAGTCACTGGGGCGTTAGTCCATCTCCCTGGCCAGGCTAGTTTCTATGTTATGAGTGTCTACCTGCAGGATTGCGCTGGCTTGAACGATCTCAATCGAGAGATCCTGGCGTGCACTGCCTCGAGAGCCAAGAGCCTCTCGGTGCCTTTCGTGATCGGTGGGGATTTCAACATGGAACCAACGACCTTGTGCACCTCGCGGATCCCCGACCGCCTCGGTGCTGAATTTTGCGTTCCCTCGGGTGTCCTTGGCACCTGTAGGTCGACTGGGGGTTTGAAGATGTACGACTATGTTTTGGTTGAGGCTAGGGTCGCCCAAGCTATTGCGAGCGTGAAGATTACCGCGGACTCGGAGTTGGCTACCCACGACCCCGTTTCGGTTAAGCTTCACCCTCAGCTTGCGTCTCTTCGGGCCCTCACTTTTCGTAGCCCACCTCCTTTCCCCAAAGAACGGCCCCCTGGTCCCCTTCCCCAACCATCCAAGGATTGGGACTTAGTGTCTCGCATGGCCTCCAGAGCCCTTGAGTCGGCCGATAATGGCGACACTGATAGAACCCAGTTCAACCTTGATGTGTTGTATCGGGAGTGGGGTACGGCCGCTGAGAAGGAGCTCGAGGGTGTGTTTCAGACCCAACTGCCATTTCATGGCACGAGAGGCCGCCAGGCGCAGCTGCGATGGGTCAACGTCGTCGACGCGTCGCATCGCTCGATGGATGGCATCTCGCGGACCTCGCGCGAGGCTACCAGTTTGAGGTGGCTTTGCTCGCGCTACCGCCTTTGGCTTCAGCTGCACGGTCTCGGTTGTCAAGACCTTGATTGTCAGGTGGCGCCTCTCTCCTCCCCACCTTTTGCCTATTGCGGTGATGAAAAACGGTCTTGCTCTGCGAGGGCTATTGATAGCTCACGCAAGGTGGCCAGAGCGACCAGCTCGGAGGAGCGTCGGCAGCAACGCCTGCGGGACACTGCGGGCGAGCTGTTCCACCCTCCGTCGAGACTGGGCACCTGGGATGGTGAGCCATTGACTCTCCTCCAGGCTGTGCAAGATATTGTGACCTATAGCCCCCCGTGCCAACCTGTCACTGAGGGGGAACCCCAACGCGTGCTTGATTTGGTCTCCCATGCCCTGGCGGCGGCTGAGAGCAAGTCTCGTCGCGATGATCATTTGTACTGGTTGGAATGGATTCGTCACAATATTGAAAACGGCGCCCGTCATGCCCACGGGGTTATTCGGGGAGCTGCTGGGTGGGCCCCCTCTACGACCCTGTCGGCTAAAAGCGAGGTGGTGTCGGACCCTGGGGCCCTCTTATCTTCCGAGCTCGAGAATTTTGCGCGGATCTGGCATGCCCAACCTGTTCCCGAGCCGCGACCTTCTGGCTCCAGATTCGTGCCTCTCGAGCCTCTGCCCGTGCTTTCGGTCGAGGATCTTCGTCGGACGGCCCGTTCGTTTCCTGCTCGTACCGCCTCTTCTGTGGATGGCTTTCATGTTCGGTCGTTTCAGCATCTGTCGGACCCTGCTCTGCAGGTGCTGTCGATCATGATTGCGATTTGGGAACGTTCGGGTCTGTTGCCTGGTCAGATGAGAGTTGTGCTGCTTATTATGCTCGCGAAGCCCGGTGGCGGGCACCGCCCAATCGGACTGTTCGTTGCTCTGTATCGTTTGTGGGCCCGCGCCAGGCGAGACCTTGCTCGGCAGTGGGAAGTGGCCAATGCCCGAGAATACTTTTGTGCTGGCGCTTTTGCCTCCAGTGTCGATACCGTCTGGAGGCAAGGAGTGAGGAGCGAGGTTGCTGTGGCTTCCAAGGACTGTTCTGGGTCTGTCCTGTGGGATCTTCTGAAGTTCTACGAGGCTGTCGACCTCGACTCGCTCCTCGCTCGTTGTCACCAGCATTCCTTTCCCATGCAGATTGCCAGGGTCTGCTACGAGGCTTACCGCTCGTGCCGCTACATGGCCATGAACGGCCGCGTGGAGGGCCCGCAGTTTGCGTGGCGAGGTTTGACTGCTGGGTGTGGATTCGCCACCACTTCCATTCGCGTCTTCACGCTAGCTGCCTTAGACGGCCTTAGCATCCCTAGATCGGTCTCGTTGAGAGTTTACATCGATGACTACACCTTGTCGTGCACGGGGGCTCCCAAGGCCGTCGTACAGGACCTGATCGAAGCTGCTTTCCGATTGCAGGTGGCCATCGAGTCCGATCTTGGTTGCTCTATTGCTGTTAGCAAGGCGGCTGTGGTCGCCTCAGTCCCTCTAGTGGCTAAGGAGATCCGCCGAGGCCTTGGCGCTGTGGGCGGAGCTCCTTGCGCATCTGCTGTCAACCTGGGCATTGACGACGCTGCTGGCAAGCCTCGGCGGACGGCCAGGAGAGGAGCTAAGATTCAGATTCGTAAGAAGGCCTTCAAAACTAAATGTCATAGGTTGAGGGTTCACAGGAATGCTTTGGGGAGACACGCCAAGCGTATATATACGAGTGGCCCCTTGGCCAGCAGAACTTATGGCTGTGAGGTGCATGGCACTTCCGACCATGAGTTGGCGAGTTTGCGGCGGTCCCTTGGACGGTTTCTCAGCCCTTCGGCTGGAGGCCGATCTCTCACTGCAGCTTTGCTGTTCGCCGCCGACCCCACCCGGCATTGTGCTGTGGCCCCGATCGTGCGCTGGTCCAAAGAAATCTGGGCCAGCCTGACGGCCTCCTTCGAGTTTGGCCTCAGCTTGGCCGAGCTCAGGGGGGCTTGGAGTACTGTGTTTGCGGGCCCTTCCCCCTCCTGGAGGCAGGTTGGAGGTCCCGTTGGGGCCCTCAGGTTGTCCGTGGAGCGTCTTGGGTGGAAGATGCCCTCTTTCTCTACCTTGGTTGACGATTTGGGGGTGGAAGTTCAGTTGACGCTTGTCTCTCCTGCCCTCCTCAAACGTATGCTGCGTCTCGCCGTTTTCAGATTTCACGAGCGTGCCTAAGGAGACAGCTTTGGTCTTGAGAGACGTGCTTGCTTAGACGTGCCGCTCCGTGCTATGGCTTCGTCTAAGTTCACGCCTTGGGAGAAAGGCTGTATCCGCGGGCTCGTCTGTCAGGCTCCGTGGACCAAGGTTAGAGCGTCAGAGCACGGCTACATTTTGCCCGACTTGCTCTGCCCCCTGTGCGGCAAGGAGCAGGACACGATTTTCCACAGGTTGTGGAAGTGCGTGCACGAGTCCTGTGCCGAGCTGCGCTGCGAGCTTTTAGGGGATGACTTTCAATACCATCCACCAGCATGGTCATCCCTATCGAAGCACGATCAGGTTCTGTTTACCTTGGGGATTATGTCTCATCCTGGTGATTTCTTTCCAGCCCCTACTGTTGCTGAACCTACTGTTTATCGTGCCAGTGACCCTGGTCGTGATGATTATTTTGTGAAAGGTCATATTTTTATGGACGGTTCGTGCATCAAGTCGGTCATTCGGGAGTTGTCGCGGACGGGGTGGTCGTATGTCTCGGTCTCCGATTCTGGGCAAGAGTTGGGTCATGTGTACGCTCCCCTCCCCCTCCCCATCCCGCAAACGGCTCAGGCTGGTGAGTTCGCTGCTTGTACGGCGGCCTGCCAGAATGCCCTGGAACCGTCATGTGGTTATAGTGATTGTCAGAATGTTGTACAGGTGTGGTCCCTCCCCCGCTCAGAACAGTTGTCTTTCAAACGGGTGCACGCTGGAATGTTTGTTTGGACGGCTGATTCTGAAATGGGCCAGATTTTCAAGGTCAAAGGTCACATGACCGAAGAACAGGCCCAAGGGGATGATCATTTGCGGTTTTGTAAGGCTGGGAACGACCTAGCTGATCACTACGCCAAGCTCGGGGCGTTGGCTCACGAGAGGCCGAGCCCCGAGCAGTCTGAATGGCTCGATCGAGCCCTTTCGATTGCTAAGAAAGTGTGTGTGCTGGCTGCCAGGATGCTACCGCTCTAGCCCGCGTGTGATCTGTCGCAGGCCACGCGTGAGCAGCGGGAGCCCGCCGTGTCCGCTCCCAAGATTAGCCACTCTCTGGTGCATAGGGACGGCTACTGGCAGTGCAAGCAATGTTTGAGGGTGTCCAGGTCCTGTTGGCCTCCCAACAGTGTCTGCCGTCACACCCACAAGCTCTATGACACCAAGCTCATAGAGCTTGGCCACAAGTGCATTGCCCTGTCTTGCTCTGACGGTAGCGCTTTGTGTATCTGCCTGAAGTGTAAGGCTTTTCCGACTGGGGGCTACGTGCGCTATCTCAACAAAGTTTGTAATGGTAAGCCGCACTGCCCCCGCTCGGCGGCCTCATATTGGAACCGTCTCCTGTCTGGCAAGCACCCGAAGAGCGACTTTATTTGGCTCGACGTGGATGCTCTCAGTGCGGTGCGGTTATTTGATTGACGCCCGACGGGTGGGCCTCCTGGCAGTCGCCACGGGGGCAAGGCCCTGTCGCGTGGCCTGCATTGCGGGTCGGCCAGCGTGCATGGAACAATCCTGCGCTGGCAGCGTCTTAAGTGCCGTGCTCGTCGGCTGCCTGGCTGGCCGCCAGGAGGACCGCGACCACTCGCGGCAGAGTAGCGCAGCGGCAAAACAAAATCCTCCTCCTCCTCCTCCTCCTCCTCCTCCTCCTCCTCCTCCCCCCCCTCCTCCGATCGCCTACGGCCCCAGGCGTGGGCGGCAGCGCAACCCAGCGGCCCGCAGCGGGGACGCAGGCCTCGGCGTCGGCGCGCAGAATGCCGCTGGCCTGCATTGTGTGTCGGATTGTCGGCCAACGTGTGTCGGATTGTCCACGTGCGTCGGATCGCCCACGTGTGTCGGAACGCCAATCCTCCGGATCTCGGCCAACGTGTTTCGGATTGTCCACCTGCTGCGGGCGGCTGGGCCAGAGGTGCCGCACGCCGGCCTGTTCTCCTTCGACGCGCAGCAGGCCCGGGCGCTGGGTGGCGTCCTCGGCGGGCCCCTCCCGCCCGAGGCGGTGGATCGGGCTACCTGCGCGGCCGCGGACGAGGGGCTCGGCCTCCGCCGGGCCGTCGACCTGCGCTACCCAGCGTTCTTCGCCAGCCGCGTGGAGGCGCGGGGGCTGGCAGAGGAGGTCCTGGACGCTATGCCGGAGCCGTGGCGCGGGGCGCTGCTGGCGCACTGGGATTCCACTTCGGCGGGCGCGCTGGCAGCATGGCGGGCGGAGCTCCCGGCCTCGACTGCAGAGGTTGCCGCCCAGCACCTCCAGGCCGGAGCGACGGCGGCGCTGACGCGGGCAGCGCAGCTTGCGGGGCGGGCGCCGCTGCCTCCCCCTTCGGGGCCCCCGCCGCCGACCGGCGCCGACGCGCTCCATTCCCCGCCGGGGGCTGACGACTCCGAGCGCCCCGGGGCCGCGCCGGGTCTCCAGGCGCGCCTGGCTGACCTTGTGCCCCGCCACCGCCTCGAGGCCGTGGAGGGCGCGCTGCTGTGGCGGCGCGACGTGGCAGGCCTGGAGCTCCTCCGCGACCTCCGAGCCCCAGGCACCGACCACGGTTGGCTTTGGGAGCTCTCCGGGGCGCTGGCGCTTCTCCCAGAGGAGTTCCTGATCGCGGCGCGCCTGCGCGTGCGCGCCTGCGCGTTGGCGCCCCGGTCTACGTGACCCCTGGCGCGTGCTCCCGGTGCGGCGCGGAGCGGGGCATCGACGGGGCGCGCGCCGCGCGTTGTGCCCCGGGGGAGTCCACGCGCGGCCACAACAGAGTGCGGGACGAACTCCTGGCGCTGGCCTCCCTGTCCGACGGGGCCGCTCGGTCGGAGGCGCCGGGCCTCATCGAGGCCGCGCCGCTTCTCCGCCTGGCCGCCTTTGGCCGGCTGACGGCGCTCGACGCGGGCATCGTGGCGCCGCACGCGGCCGGGGCCGGCGAGGATGCTGCCGCCGCCTACGTGGTCAGCAAGGTCGGCAAGTACGCGCCGCACCTGCCGGCGCTGGCGGCCGACGGGATCGCCTACCGGCCGCTCGTCTGGACAACGTGGGGCCGCCCGCGCGAGGATGCGTCGGCCGCGGTCGCGTCCATGGCAGCCGCAGCGGGGAGGCGCCTGGGCGCGCCCTCGCACGCGCTCGCGGCGCGGGCCCGCACCGCCATCGTCGCCGCGATCTGGCGCCGAGCAGCGCGCATGGTCGGCGCATGCGGCCCGCGGCTCGCCCGAGGGGATGTCGGTGCCCTCCTGCCAGGGGCCGGGGCCGCCGGTGCAGGTGGCGCCGCCGACGCCGCCTCCGACGTCGATCCGCCCGCGGACCCCTCGCCGGCGGCGCCGTCCGACTCCTCCTCGTCCACCTCCTCGCCTGCCCCCTCCTGCCCGGCGTCGCCCGCTTCCTGCCCTGCCCGCCTGTCCCCCGCCCTTGGCTTAACCGTTCGGGGGGGCGCGGCGGAGCCGGCAGGAGGCGAGGCGCTGGCGGGAGCGCTGGCCGGCGTGGCGGGCGAAGCGGACGCCGTCGCCGGCCTGGCTGGCACTGGGCCCGCGGGGCCGGCGGGCCAGGTCGGCGCAGCCCTCCTGGGGGTCGGCGCAGCCGCGGGCGTCGCCGAGCTCGTGGCCGCGTTCGAGTCCATCGCGGGCGCGGTCGGCCCCGGGGGAGCTGGCGCGCCTGGCCTTGGCGACGCCGGAGGCGCTGCGGCGGAGGCTGCTGGCGCTGCGGGCTGCAGCGCCGCCGCGGGGGCCGCAGGCGAGCCGGCGGGCGGGGGCGCCCGGGGCCCGGCCTGGTTTGCCGGCCTCCGACTGGCGCACGGGAGCGGCCCCCCGGCGTAGCCGCCGTGCTGCCAGGGCGTGGGCGTGGAGGACGAGGGGTGTGGAGAGGGGGGGAGAAAAAAAAAAAAGGCCTGGACGCCGTCGCAGCAGCCGCCACGGAGGGCCCAGTGGCCGACCCGCCCGAGCCAGCGGTTCGTCTCCAGCCTGGGGCCCCTCTCGGCGATCCGCGGCTCCTCGACCGAAGCGGCGAGCCCTGAGATCCCGTCCGCCTTCGCGTGCAGAGCTACGCTGCGGCGCCAGGTGTCGGCACCGCAGCTACGACCGTTGCGCGCCTTCGCCTGCAGGTCCGGCACGACCGCGAGGATCCGCTCGACGATCTCAGGCCCCGCATCGAAGAGCTTTGCAAGCATGTCGATCACCTGCGAATGCTGGCGACGAGAAGCCTGCAGCTCGTCCTTCAACTTGAACACCAATCGATCTGCGGAGGCGCGCGCGCCCGCCGCGCCCCGCAGCGCCCTGGGAAGGGGGTCTCCCGCAGCCACCATGCTCGCACCGCACGACGCCCAGGGGTTCGAACCAGCTTGAGCCAAAATGGCTACGGAGGAATATTCAAGCATAGTACAACAATAGTCCGGGGACGATGTTTCGATTACTTTGTTTGACCATTTCTGCGAAGTTGTTGCCTAATTTTTGTTGTTCCTCCAAAAGCCGCCTGTAGGGGGACATGCCCCGCTTGAGAAGAAACAGCGCCATAAACATAACCTTTTGGCGCTCCGCGCGGAGTTCTTGGATCCGCGCCGCGGCCCCCCCAGCGGCGCCTCCGGCGCCGCCCCTGGCGCGCTCCGCGCGCCAGGGGCGGAGGGGTCCAGCGCGGATCCAAGACATCCGCGCGGAGGGCCACAAGTTTATGTTTATGGCGTTGTTTCTTCTTCGGGGCATGTCCCCTCCAGGCGGCCTTCTGGAGGAACAGCAGAAATCGGGCAGCAACTTCGCAGACATGGTCAAACCACGTAATCGAAACATCGCCTCTTGGCTATTGTTTCTACTGTGCTTATGGCGCTCTGTCTTCGAATGTCCGACCTGACCCCGTGCGCCCGGCGCCTCGAGCAGGCTCGAGGCGGCCGGTCTGTGGCCGTGCTCCTCCGCTGGGGGGGGGGGGGCCGGCTGCGGGCCTCGGGGCCGCGGGGGCAGCAGCTCGGGCGCGGGCGGCCCACACCGGCCCCCAGGTCGAGGGGAGGTCGGGGGCGGCAGAGTGGGGGGGGTGATGGCCATGGGGGGGGATGGCCAGGGGGGGGGGGCAGAGAAGGGGGGGCAGAGAGGGGGGCAGAGGTCGGCAGAGGTCGGGGGCGGCAGAGAGGGGGGGTGATGGCCAGGGGGGGGAGATTTGCCATTTTGCAGGTGCCTCGGGTTTTGCCGGAAGTTCGGCTCGAGGAAGCTCAGCTCACAGATCTCGGTTTCCCTCCCGGTGTGGCAAGATGTCAAAGACAAACGCCCACGATCTTTCCTCAGATGGCATGGTGCGTCTTCTCATGCCACTGCGTCCCTGGCCCCCCCGCCCCCCCTCCCTCCTGGGCCGCGCACGTGCCGCCGGCCATGATCTGCGCCCCCCCCTCTGGGACGCCCCCCTCTTGGCTGCCCCCGCGAAGGCGCACGGTGAGCATTCGCCATGGGGCACACGGGTCTTGAGGGAAACAGGTCATGAGTCGAAGAAGAAAAACGCCATAAGCCATAAACATAGCCTTTTGGCGCTCCGCGCGGATTTCTCGGATCCGCGCTGGGCTCCCCCTGTCGGCGCCTTTGGCGCTGTCCGTGGTCCAGGGAGATCCAAGAAATCTGCGTGGAGCGCCAAAAGTTGTTGTTTATTGTTCCCGGAAAGGGCCTGAGCCCAGGGTTCTCTTTTAGTAGGTAAACCTGTCCCCCGGTGCCAACTTGAGGGAGGCTGGCGAATTTTTTCCCTGATAAAAATAACGAGTTCGAAAGGAGGCCCGCGATAAAATTGAGGATTCTCGAGGAAACGCTGTTTTTGAAATCCACCACATCGGATACATCACAGGGTTGCGGGCCTTTTTCGTGTGTTGAGGATGTCTCGAGCGAAACGCTTGCTCCGCAGAGTTTGCCGAGGATGTCTCGAGCGAAACGCTTGTTTTGCAGAGCCGACCGCGACGCGGAAAGCGCCCCGCGCGAAGGAATTTCGATGATGTTTCGACTAATTCGTTTGTTTTTGTACGATTTCCTGGAATTTTGGCAGGATGTCTCGAGCGAAATGCACGACCCCACCCTAGCACGACCATACCCCAGCACGACACACCCCAGCACGACCAGACCCCAGCACGACCCCACCCCAGCACGACCCCACCCCAGCACGACCATACCCCAGCACGACCACACCCCAGCACGACCCGACCCCAGCACGACCCTACCCCAGCAAGAACACACCCCAGCACGACCACACCCCAGCACGACCTCACCACAGCACGACCACACCCCAGCACGACCACGCCCCCGCACGACCACTCCCCCAGCACGACCCTACCCCAGCAAGACCACACCCCAGCACGACCACACCCCAGCACGACCTCACCACAGCACGACCACACCCCAGCACGACCACGCCCCAGCACGACCACACCCCAGCACGACCACACCCCAGCACGACCACACCCCAGCACGACCACACCCCAACACGACCACACCCCACCACGATCACACCCCACCACGACCACACCCCAGCACGACCCGATCGATAATCACAGTGTGCGGAGCACCCGCACGAACCCACCCCAGCACGACCCCACCCCAGCACGACCCCACCCCAGCACGACCACGCCCCAGCATGACCACACCCCAGCACGACCACACCCCAGCACGACCACTCCCCAGCACGACCCCACCCCAGCACGACCCCACCCTAGCACGACCACCCCCCAGCACGACCACACCCCAGCACGACCCCACCCCAGCACGATCACACCCCAGCACGACCCCACCCCAGCAAGACCACACCCCAGCACGACCGCACCCCAGCACGACCTTACCACAGCACGACCACACCCCAGCACGACCATGCCCCAGCACGACCACGCCCCAGCACGACCACGCCCCAGCACGACCACGCCCCAGCACGACCACGCCCCAGCACGACCACCCCCCAGCACGACCACCGCCCCAGCACGACCACCCCCCAGCACGACCACCCCCCAGCACGACCACACCCCAGCACGACCACTCCCCAGCACGACCACACCGCCTTGGTTGAGTGGTTGCTGTCGTCGTGGAATGTTTCGTGGGGTGTCTCGTGGAATGTTTCGCGGGGTGTCTCGTGAAATGTTTTCGTGAGGTGTCCTCGTGTAATTTTTCGTGAGGTGTCCTCGTGGGCTGTTTCGTGAGGTGGTCTCGTGGGATGTTTCGTGAGGTGTTGCCCAGTTGGGTATCGTGAAAACGTGTCCATGCTCCACATGTCTAAATCCCTTTCCGGGTTCGTGTGTCCATCATGTTTCCCGGAAAGGGCCTGGGCCCAGGGTTCTCTTTTAGTGGGTAAACCTGTCCCCCGGTGCCAACTTGAAGGATGCCGGCGAATTTTTTCCCTGATAAATATCGAGGTCGAAGGAGGCCGGCGAATTAAAATTTGAGGATGTCTCGAGCGAAACGCTTGTTTTTCAGAATTTGTTGAGGATGTCTCGAGCGAGACGCTGGTTTTGCAGAGTTGGTGATGTCTCGATCGAAACCTTGCTCCGCAGAGTTTGCCGAGGATGTCTCGAGCGAAACGCTTGTTTTGCAGAGCCGACCGCGACGCGGAAAAGCGCCCCGCGCGAAGGAATTTCGATGATGTCTCGACTAATTCATTTGTTTTTGTACGATTTCCTGGAATTTTGGCAGGATGTCTCGAGCGAAATGCACGACCCCACCCTAGCACGACCATACCCCAGCACGACCACACCCCAGCACGACCAGACCCCAGCACGACCCCACCCCAGCACGACCCCACCCCAGCACGACCATACCCCAGCACGACCACACCCCAGCACGACCCGACCCCAGCACGACCCTACCCCATCAAGACCACACCCCAGCACGACCACACCCCAGCACGACCTCACCACAGCACGACCACACCCCAGCACGACCACGCCCCAGCACGACCACGCCCCAGCACGACCACGCCCCAGCACGACCACCCCTAGCACGAACCACCCCCCAGCACCCACCCCCCAGCACGAACAACCCCCAGCGCGACCACCCCAAACGGACACTTCACAGACGACCACACCCCCGCACGACCACACCCCAGCACGACCACACCCCAGCACGACCACACCCCAGCACGACCCGATCGATAAATCACAGGGTGCGGAGCACCCCAGCACGAACCCACCCCAGCACGACCCCACCCCAGCACGACCCCACCCCAGCACGACCACGCCCCAGCATGACCACACCCCAGCACGACCACACCCCGGCACGACCACTCCCCATCCGACCCCACCCCAGCACGAACCCCACCCTATCACGAATAACACACCCCAGCACGACCACACCCCAGCACGACCCCACCCCAGCAACGATCACACCCAGCCACCCCACCAGCAGCGAGACAACACCCCAGCACGACCCGCACGAACGATGTGCCTTACAAGCACGACCACCCCCCAGCACGACCACGCCCCAGCACGTACACTGAACCCCAGCACGACCACGCCCCAGCACGACCACGCCCCAGCACGACCACGCCCCAGCACGACCACCCCCCCAGCACGACCACCCCCCAGCACGACCACACCCCAGCACGACCACACCCCAGCACGACCACTCCCCAGCACGACCACACCGCCTTGGTTGAGTGGTTGCCTGTCGTCGTGGAATGTTTCGTGGGGTGTCTCGTGGACTGTTTCGCGGGGTGTCTCGTGAAATGTTTCGTGAGGTGTCTCGTGGAATGTTTCGTGAGGTGTCTCGTGGGCTGTTTCGTGAGGTGTCTCGTGGGATGTTTCGTGAGGTGTTGCCCAGTTGGGTATCATGAAAACGTGTCCATGCTCCACATGTCTATATCCCTTTCCGGGTTCGTG